CTAGACCCAGCCCTCTTTCCTGCTTATGCAGGGGGTCGGACTCGATGATCTATTGAGGTCCCTTCCGACCCTAACATCTATGAATCTATGAATTGTCCAGCAGGTGTTGTCCAGAGGGGGAGGGGTCGCTGACAGGGCCTCTGGGTGGATAGGTGGTGTGGCGTGGTGCTGGTCCAGATGGAGAGGGCGTCCCAAGGAGTCAGTCTTCACTACCCCTTTTTATGGCAGACTACCTCTGATCTCCTATGGAGAAGGCCTGTCCAGGCAATGTCAGTCCTGTTCCAGAGGGTTCCAGGTGTTCTTACTGAGCATGTGCAGCTTTGGCACAATGGTGGGTTGCCTCATCTTTTGTTTCTTGAATGCTGAGGGTGGTTCCAATGGCTGGGTTGTTGGTCCAGGTATTGGTTTTGATGGTTCGGTCATTCAGAAGGAGCTATTTTTAGACCTACTGCCATTGTCTCTCAAGCACCCTCATTCATCCCCATTCATTCAGGAACCAAGTTACATAGGAGAGTATGAGTCATAGGTTGCACAACAGGGCATGGGACAAGATGGAAACTTAACAAACAAAATGGAAACTTGACATGACTTATGCTAACTTACTTATGTAGGCCTAAATCATATAGTATCAGTAAAACACTAATATAGAACAGTAAAAATCAATATAAACATAATATTTATACAATATAAAGACAGTGAAAAAACAAAAGAAATACAACTGGCTACCGAAATAAAATGCTGAAGCTTATCCTATGTCTTAGCTCACTTATACTTATCTATAGGAAATAGAGAGGGAGAGAAAAAGTCAGAAATGGTTGGGGACGGGGAGGGAATACGTTTTAAAATTAAAAAAAGAAAAACTGGGGATTCTGTTACACTGTTGTGGAGGGGCAAGAGCGGGGGAAACAACGAGAAGCCTGATCTTTTTTTTTTTCCCTCTGGAGCCTGCCTATGTGTCCCACAGCTGGGGAGTGAGCTGACAGTGGGCCCTAGGCTGTGGGGGACCCCAGTACTTCCCTCCATGGTGGCAACACCTCACGGGCAGCACCCATCTATTAGCACCCCATCTGGGCAGTCCTGGGGGGCTCCACCACCGCAGAGGGAAGTACTGGAGCCCCCCACAGCTCAGGGCCCACCAACAGCTCACTTTATGGCCATAGGAGAGGGAGGCAGGTACATAACCAAACACAAGTGCATGACTACAGACAGCTTCCAAAATGGCTTATCAGACAAAAATCTGAACCCTCATTGCATGAGAGGTCAGATGAAAATGTTTCAAAACAAAGTGTCTTCTGTAACTTGTCTATGCTAGGGAGTTCAGTCTAGGGTTTTTCAGCTCCTGCTGGAGGGTGGGGCAGGTGTATTGGAGCCCCCTACCCCTACAACTCAGGGGGGCTCCAATTTGCCTACCCCACCCTCCAGCACTGGCTGGGGACGCCCTAGAATGAGCTGCCTCTCCTTCCTTTCCCACCTCCCATTCTGAAATGGGGACAGGCTGGGAGAGAGGAGGAGGTATTGCTAGGGGAACCTGGCTGCAGGCTCCCAGCCAGCAGCTAGATTCCCCTCCCCCCTGGAACCAACAGTATCTTCTGTTTGATCTGGGGAATCGGGGAATCATTGTAACTTGGAATGCTTCCTGCAAAGCATTCTCAGTTACAGTGAGGAGCCACACTTCTGTCTGTGCTCTAGAAAATTATTGAAGTTCAGGAGTCAAAATTGGTGAAGTAACAATATTAGACCTAGCATCCAGGAAACATGGGGCAAGAACCACAGAATCATGAAGCAAAGACTGAGAACCAAGAATCAGGATAGGAGCAGAAGACAAAGCTGAGATGTGGACAGTTCAGGAATTGCTTGCAAACTGGAAAACAGTGTTGTGCAACAAAAAGCAGCTACTAGGACAGTCACTTAAATGAGGAACTGCACAAACAGGTTCCTGGTGGGGAAAAAGCTCTCTTGAAATGCAGTTTGCACATCTATTGTAGCTCTCTAAAGCAGGGGTGTTAAAGATATGTCCTGTTTATCCAGCCTGTGGACTGGTCCCTGGACATCCAGATGAGTTTGACACCCAAGCTCTAAAGGATGGGCTTTGAACCCTGTGCAGTGCCAAAGGCCCTCCCTGTTGCACTCACTTATGGCAGCTAGCTTCTTAATCTGGGGAGATAATTTAACACATTCTGTATTCTATTCAGCAGATGTTTATCACAAGGGTGTTTGATTTACACCTGTTTCTAAGCTTTGACAAGCTGAGGCATGAGAGAACAATAGACAGTCAGATTGCTTTTGATGGGTCTGAATTCAGGTCAACAGGGTCTGATGAACTTGATCCCAGGGTGCTGAAGGAACCGGCAGAGGAGATCTTGGAGCCCTTGACAATGATCTTCATAAAGTCATGGAGATGGGCAAGTTTCCAGAGGACTGGCAAAAGGCCAACATAGTGCCCCCCCACCGCCTTTTTTTTTTTTAAAGTGAGGAACTACAGACCAGTTAGCCTGCCCTTACTATTTGGGAAGTTACTGGAGCCAGGAACAGATCCAGAGGACATGCACTGGCACAGACCCCTGCCACACACACACACACACACACACACACACACACACACTTTGTTTCCTGTTTCCTTCACTCAGTTGCTATGCTGAGGGAACCTTGTCAGGCTAGGCTGGGAGTTCCCTTTGCAGAAGGAGGTTGGAGGAGCAAAACAGTAAAGAAGAAAAAGGCAAAAAACCAAGGAAAAAGGGCAGGTGAGGAGATTAAAAGGGGATGGGGTAAGGGTAAACAGTGCAGAGCTATAAACCAGAGTTCGCAGAGCCAAGGCAGTGCTGCTTGGGCAAAGTTCCATCCCCACCACTTCAAGTGACCTAGCCAGCACAGCTTCTGCCTTTGCCAGCAAACTGTCTGTACCAAAGCCAGCAGGGAATGGAGGGGTAGCTGAGCTCCTAGGCATACATTACTTCAGGAAAAGCCCTGTCCCCTTCACCAGGCCAACACAGCCCATTCCCTTCTGGCTCCCATGCCAGAAGTTTCTTCGCTCATCCCAGCAGCTAAGTCACCAGAGTTCAACCTTTTTTAATAAGTGTACCCCCAGCAGCTGGACATGGGGCTGGGGGGGGGGGGGTGCATATAGCCGGACACAGAGCAGAGGGTAGAGGGTGGTGCACAGGGTGGTGGGTGGCGGTGGCTTTACTCAGTGTGGTGGGTGGTGGTGTTCCATCCCCACCCATTCGTGTGTACACCTAGGGCCTTCCCAAGTACCCCATTGACAACCCTTGGGCTAAGTGGTTTGAAGCCCTGAACTGGGATCCCACAAACTAGGGTGGGTGAAGAAAGTCCCATCTCCTCTTCCTCATCCCCTCCACTTATTAGCAGATCAATGTCAGAATGGCAGGAGGTTTTGAGCGGAGTCCCACAGTGGTTTGTCCTGGACATAGTGCTATTTGATGCATTTATTATCTGGATGCTGACATAGGAAGTTTCTTAAGCAAGCTTACAGATGACACAAAATTGGAAAAGATTGTGAACATTTCAGGTTACATGTGCAATCCAGAAGTATCTTGAAATTTTGGAAGGTGAGGCTGAAGCTAACATGCCAAATGCAAATGCTGACAAAAACAAGTTGTTATGCCTTGGAAAGAATAATCAAAAACTCAAATACAAAATGAGTGATCCCTGGCTGGATGGCAGCACTACGGAGAAGGATCTGGAAGTCTTGGTAGATCACAGACTCGGTAATACTGAATCTGCAGTGTGATACAGCTGCATCACACAAGAGAAAAAAAAATTAGGGTTGGCTCCATATCCTCCAAGAGTGCACCCTGCACCACTTTTTCCTAGCGTGTGATTTTTTTTGATATCGGGATTTCCTGAAAAATATGCAGCAGGGGGAACATTTTTTCATTCCTAGCATGCCTCTTGCAGCATCTCAAACTGCTCTGAGACACTGCAACAGGCATATACTTGCTTGTCTGGATGTGGCCAAAGAGACTGCAGAGGTCAGTTTACTGCTCTTCGTACTGTTTATTTCTCCTCCTTTGTGTATGACTTTATTTATTGAACCCAATGATCAGTATGCTTGGTAAACTGAGCTCTCATATTGACAGGAAGTTTTCAATGATGTGCTTCACATGAATGTCTGCACACCTTCAGTTTGAGAGCCAAACTCCTTTAGAGGTCAGTAGGTGAAGTGAGTTTAACACTACTTCTGATATGAATATAGGAAACCCAATGTAGAGAGCTCTTCAAATATCCAGTTATACTTTCAGTTCAAGGATCTTCTGATTGATGAAACCAGTAAATTAATCATATTCTGAGTAACAGTGTACAGTTCTTGTCTGAGTGTTGTTGAGGCCAGTTATAAAAGTGAGTCCATGTCCAAGAAAAAAAATGTACATAAAGGGAGGTTTCATTAAACATAATGAGAAAGTAATGCTAAGGGAAGACTTGATGTTTTGATTTCCCGTTCTATTGTCTCATTTTGTCAGGTCCATACCATAGAAAATCTTGATTTAATAATTTGCTCTGAAAATATATTAAATGAAAAGTAACAAGAATAGAACCTCTAATATCACACAATATAATTGTTTGCATCTTCCTGCTTGGCATCAAAAGCAGCTAGTCTGAATGCCAGCTTCTCAAAGAAACAATACAATTTGCTATTTTTGTGAAATCTAATTCTTATTCAGTTTCTGTTAATCAAAACATTCTTCAGATAAAATTACACCAGCTCTCATATCACCTTCTCATTGTAGCTCGGCACTAATTTTGATTAAACCTTCCTATGCATTCACATGTGACAGAGTAGAATTTAGTCAAGGGAAATTGAGGATATCTTACTAAGCTTAGCATTCAAGATTCCTTCAAGTACCATCTGTGGTCCAGCAGAGATCTTCAGTCATCTCCAGGAACTGAATGGGAAAAATAAACACACAGATTTTCTTTATCTCTATATATGGGCTGTTTCATATGTAATTATGCCTTCTCCCTGTCAGTTATTAATTTTGGCTGCAGTGGGTGTAATTTAGGCCACTGTTTCTCAATCTGTGGATCACAATCCAAAAGTGGGTTGGGTAGCAAGAATATTTCAAAGGGTCACGAGCAAGTGGCAGAAAAACTGTGCAAAAGCATGGGTTTTCCTTTGCATGCTGGCAGTGTTCCAGCCTGCAAGGGGCTGCTTGAGGCATGGCCGGCATATAGCCAGGCAGGGTCATGGAAGCAGCCCCAGGAGCCAGAAGTTAAGTGTATGGGGAGTGGGACTTGGAGGGCCCGGGCTTTGGGACTGTCTGGATGGGAGTGGTGGGGGTGTGCCAAATACCACCACTCTCTACTCCAGTCCAGCAGCTGGTGTGGGGCTCTGCCAAGCCTGCTAGGCTGCAGCACCACCCACCCCTGGCCCGAGCCCAGCCTGCTGGTCCCTCACCACTGCAGCTCATCTGCAGGGTCTCTGGGGGGCTGCAGCTGGGATTTGTCCTCCTGGTAGCTGCGGCCAGCACCGAGCTATCTAGCCTCCATGCTCTCCATGGGGATGGGTGTTCAACTGCTCTGCTGTGTAGGTGCCACACCACTTGCACTGGCTATGCTGAGGCCTGCTAGGGTGGGTAGCTTATCGCAAGGCCCTGCCTCCTGCCCGTCTGGCTCCAATTAGTGCTCAGTAGTGCTCAGCCTGAGGCATGCCGCAAGGGCCCACTCACCCCCTTCTCCTGGCAGCAGCAGCTCTGGTTCCATGCCAGCAGGGCCCCCCCCCACCCCATACCAATGACTGCTTTGTGCCACTTACTGAGGCCCTGAGGGAGTCTTCAGCAGCTTAGAGCAGTGATACTCAGCCAGGGGCACCCTCGGGTGCTCTGAGGTGTGCGGGGATAAATGAGACGAGCAGATCAACTAAGCAAAAAAGTAGGGGTGCACCAATAGAGATTTCTGTGGCCGATACCAATAGCCAAATTTTAAGGAGGCATATCAGCTGATACCTATCTGATTTCCAATACCAGTCCAGTGGCTTGGAGAGCTGCCTCCAGCTGGTAAGTCTGGTGTGGTTGAAGGGGAGAGGGGAGGGAAGGGGCATAGTGGGGCAGATCAAGGCCCCTGCAGGGAGGAAGGAGTGGGGCTGGGGCAGGGGCTGCTTAGCCAGGGCAGGGTGGGAGTGGGGCGGAGCAGCAGCTCATCCAGGGGGTGCGGGGAGGGGAGACGGCTCCCGCCTGTTGGCTGGGCGCCGCCGGTCCCGCAGCTCATCCAGTGCTCACCTGCT